CAGGGGATTTCGCTATTTTTTTATTTAATTTTAAATTTAAAAAGAAATAAATCGCCAAGACTGTGCTAGTCCACCTCACCACAAAAACTTTGACAAATTGCATTTATTATCTAGCTGAAAATTTTCAATTCGGTTTTACAAGATCTGAGTATGGTGTTATTATACAGTTACAAGTGTCACTTTAAAATTCGATTTTCATAAAAATCTGTATTACAGTATTATAAATCAAGTAAAATCAAATCAAATGTGTTCTGCTTAGATATAACGTAGAATGAAAAAAATACATAGTGCTTACGCTGAATAGATACGTTAAACCTGTTGGTAGTAAAGTAATTCAACAGTTGAATTAGTTGATAATCGTTGATTTCTTGAAATGAAAATTATTTATTGCCACTAATTAAAATATATAAATAAAGTTTTAAAAGCAAAATCACTGCTCTTCTTTCATATTACCTAAAGTTATTTTTGAATTCGGCATCTCAAGTCATTGGAAATTATTACCAGCACAATCCAGAAGTAAATTCTCTAGAAAATGAGCTTGCAGACCAGTCAGATCAGAAGAAAATGTTATCTTGGCCACCGCGGGATGAATCATGTATGGATTGTGATCCATCGCTTCGTAACTGCAGTGAACAATACAATGCATGTCAAACGTACATTGGGAGAAAGGTGTCAAGAAGAAATATACATACAACGCTAAATTAAACTATATGTCACACTCTAATCAACAAAATCTAATAATTTGATAGACACATTTAATATGACACTCATTTCATACGTTAGTAAACATTATAATTCTCTTTGAAAGTAGGCGCCCTGGAGAGTGAACTGATTTATACATAACAATAAATAGGTAATCCTAACCTACCTTAGTACGGGTTGAATCTTGATTCTTGGTTTGCACGGTGGCGTATGGTGGCATAAACAATTTGTTGTCATAGTCGGTTGATCCCATGGAGGGTGTGTCATTAAACTATAAAATAAAACATGGTATATCATTGATTATTACAAAATAAAAGAAACAAACTATTACATAAATCAGCTGTGTGAAAATAATATAAAGCATTTATCTGTTTAGTATAGTATCAGTATTATGCGCATATTCAGTCAACATAGAAACACTTTCAGGAAAAAATAATCATATATATTTATTTTATTTAATATTTTATTTTTTAAATTAATGTATCTTATATATTACTGTAATGCATTGTATTTCAAACCCCACCTTTTCAAACCTTGGTGCTTGTCCCATGACCTTCGCAATGTGTTTTATTTGTTCGTCCTGTTGTGAATGCCATGAAATATCACTAAGAGTGTCATCATCTTGGTATCCCCACATCTTGCGTTGTTCATATTCTTTCACGCGTCCCCACAGTGCAGAAGACGGGTTTCCTGCTTTTCCATCTCGCCTTCGGCGTACTAGACAATAATATGTGACCGAGATCACCACGGCAATAAGGATTATACCAAACGTTGTACCAATTGAAATTCCCAAAAATCGCTCTAAATTATTTGTAGGGAGCACTGTGGAAGAGAGTCACGTAAATCAAAATCAATTGTTCATTGCATTTTTGTTGCTAACACAACTTACGATTCAAAACATAAGCAACATGTGTTTGGAACACATCCACGTAATAATATATTTTTAACTACTAACTTGTTGACTTTTCACTACAAATATCTCCTACATATCCTTCGGGACATCTGTCAAAGTAAAATAAGTAAAGTAAATATATTGCAAAAAAGTTTCTGTGACTGTGAACAAATTGTATTCTTGTAAACATGTTGCTACATTGGATTTCAACTGTGCCACAATCCAATGGTGATGTATGTTTATTCAAATAAAGATACACGGATACCTTCGAAACATTTTCCTTTTTTAATGTTGCATTTTAAAATTCAACACGATTTTTACAATAGAAACATTGGTGAATTTGAGCTGCTCGGTGTCATTTGTGAGAACTATAATTACACAGCCAAAGATGCCACTGATTGGCTGAATTTTATGTGTGTTATTGTTCTAGATATTATACTTCATATAAGCTAATCAAAGTCATGCAACACAATATACAAACATAATTGCAACGAGGAAGGTGTTTTTACTAGTCCATTTCCTTTATCGTGCATGTATGTTAATCGCACAAGAAATTACAAGTTACTTACTCGCATGTGCGGTCTTTGATACTATCTCCAACACAAGTTCCCCCATTAAAGCAATAGGTTGTAGGACAAACCTCTGTAATGACATGTTTACTTACATACTTACATAACACGATTGAGAATACTTGTGTATTATATTGTTTATACTCTCAATAATATAGCAAATATATGACAATGGTGATCAACAATTTATATTTACATGATCCGTAAGTCTAAGTAATCATTTAAGAAGTGATTAATCAAAACAACCATATGAAAATGTAGTAATTCATATAATGTTGTTACATGCCACGTATAGCTACTTTTACACATAACCAAATGCAGCCATCACGAAACATGTGAACAGGAGGATCTCGGCAGATCAAACAACGGAAAGCAATACATTGGATTACATTTCACAGAATATATAAAAAAGTCTGCATGTTTGATAGCTTTTCAGATAATTCCACTATTTACCTGTACATATTCTTCCTGGTCTTTCAAGAGATTCGTCTTCATATCCGCTATTACAATTACAATGGAATCTGTCTTCTACATCTCTACAATTGGCATCAACACTGCAATCATGTGTGGCGTCACTGTCACAGGCACGTTGGTCATATTCTAAAGACAATAAATAAATAAATAAATTTGTAGTGGCAATCAATGGGCCAATTTAATAATTAGATGTATAATAGTGTACCAATGTGTTTAAGATGTAAATACATTTCCCCCTCCATTTACTAGCCTGAATGCACGAGAATGACCTGAAATTAAATATGTTATTAAATATACCTTGGAAGGACATAGAGTTATCAAAAAACATAATCCTGGTGCTAGATGTAACATTAATGACCTCATCATAATTGGCGAGAACGTCTTTCAAATCTGACACACTTATATCTGTATCTTTTTTTAAATATAATATATAATCTATATTAACACTGCCACGGCTTAGCTTCTGTACATGGCAGCCTTGGTAGTCAGTTCTTGTTTTAGTAGTGTCAGTGTGAGCAATTCTCATCTAAAAAACAATAAAATATGTACATGTGTCATCGATACAGTGATAAGCACAATATAAACACTTGGTAATATAATATAAATAATTTGTTAAATATATATTATGCCGTATATTCTATGAACAAAATATGTTGATGCCATACTTTCCATGTGGACTATGGGCCGTTTAAATATAACGCATTTGTAAACTGACTTACTGCTTCAATGAATAGTCTTGTAATATTCTTATATTCTGCTGACGATGTGTCATCATACTCGTCTTTGTAGTCTTCATTAATTTTCACATGTGATTTAAATGTTTTGGAATCTAAAAACGCAATAGTGTATATCATTGCTTACTAGATGAGGAACATTTCCAATATAGTACGGTATTCTAGAGTTCTTTATCAGCACGAATATTCTCTCAACACTGTATATTGATAATCCTGGTATAAAAAGCGTTAGGACATATATGCCTAAATAGTAAGAATTATTTACGTTAGTTGTAGCTATGTTAGATGTATTTAAAATTCTAACAACTTACCTTCACATTTTCCACTTGTATTAAATGTCCCAGGAAGACATGTGCATTTATAACTGCCTGCAGTGTTTATACATTGATACTCTGAATCACATGGTTCATCGATACACTCGTCAACGTCTGAAATAGAATCATGTTCACTATTGATCTAATATGAAGATTACAATTTAAAAGGCGGCAGTCATCGCGCTGCGCATGTGCGACATTCATATTGATAAACTTTTTCCACAATCCAATGCGCTCTTCTAATGGAAACTATGAGGTTTAATCTGGGCGCGACTTGCACTAATTACCACCAATGACTCTTTCAATACATTCTAATCACCTAAAATATCTAATTAAAGCTTGGTAACGTTCTAGTTTGTACTCGTTGATCTGCGCAACAGTCAAAGTCACCATCTTTGTTTATGAGACCCATATATCTCGCGCATGCGTGGCGTGACGACTACTGCCCTTTAAATAAATCGAATATTAAACTTTAACAACATGAATACCGATACATACAATATGAATATAACAACATACACAGTGAAACTTGTTTGTTCGAATTTACTTAAATTTGAAAATTGGATCTGTCAGTGTGTATTTAATAGACCACTATTATTTATATACTATATTTATATATATTATTTATAGTAGGTAAAATTTTGAATTCAAATTAGCACTGTTTCAGTGTAAGAGTTTAGTGCATACTGTCACCAATCTGGTGTGCTACTCGCATGTACGTATGACATGACAATTGCATTCAACTGTTTATGTCAGTACTTGTTAACTTTTCCATGCAATATTACTTTAATCGCCACATTACAATATCTATATGTAATTTTCTAATATATATTAAGCCTGGAGCATTTTCACACTTTCATGCGCGCCATGGCAAATGTCATCACGACTGTCTAGCACTCCTTATTTGGCATGTTATTAAGTTCTGTCAAACCACGTTGATGTATGCTTGGCGTCGTAGTGACGTCACGAAATCACGTAGTTTCACTTATAAATAGAGGAAAGACTCTTAAGGGAAGCATGATGAGGTAGGAGCTGAGGTTCCACGGGCCATATGTATCAAGGCGTGGCTGCAAAGCCAACGCCTGGGAACCAACAATCTTCTATAGCCTTACATTTAAGATTGTTACAATACTCACCTATACATTTTCCAGATAAGACAGAAACATTATACCCGGGTGCACATTCACAGTCATATGTGTTGTTTCCAGTAAAAACACAGACTTCACCTCCAACGCAGGAATCAGTGGCATCCAAACAGCGGTTGATAACTATTGGCAAGAAGTCGACAACAACAATCAACAATTTTGTCTTTCATACACGACGCAATGTATAAATTATGTTGAGGGTCCAAAAATAAACACTATTTGCCGATGCCTGAAAATCCACAGTGTAGGCATTAACAGTTGTATGACGTTGTATAGATCATATCTGACACATGTGACTTACTAATGTTATTGCTTGCAAATGAATCGTGACGTATATATGTTGAATTTCCAATCAGCGTTCCATCCTGTGCTGGTCCATCAGTAAATACCGAAATGAGATCATCTGAGGTTTTTGTGGACATACTGTGTAAGTTAACCAAACACCGTACCAATGTCCCACCATCTCTGTCTTCATATACAACTACTGTCGTGCTCAAATAATCAGAAGATATTTCTGAATTTGAAAACAGTGTGTTTATCTGAAAGAAACATGTACTATCCTATGATATATTTATTATAGTGCGGTAATTACTATTAACCTGGAATTCATATATACATTATTCTATGTGTATAAAACAAACATAACATAATTACAATTATTATACATCTGTCACCGTAACGCAATAAGTTACAGTGTGCCGTAATTTTGCGCGTCGGTCGATACTGCCGCTGTACTGTCGTCGTGCATACTAAGACGTATCTTCGTAATAACCTTATATTATTATATGTTCAAGCTAAGGACACCTAATACTTACATCATCTTCCAATGTGGTCGTTATATTATTATACAGTTCCGAACTTGGTGAAGCTAGGTCATCATTGAAATCCACAAGACTGACACCTCCGACTGACGTAAGTATCATTGACACATTGAAAGCTTTGGATTCTATGATTGAAAGAGCATTATGCTAATTTCACTATTGAATATGATGTAATTGGGTATATTGACATTATAAAGTTTGTTAATGCAAGATACCATTGAGCAGCCCCGACTGATAAATGCACGTGTTTGCGCTTTTTAGATCATGGGTGAGTCACACAATTGATGTAATCATTCAATACATTGCATTCAATTTGATTGTGATGTGATTATAATTTGAATAATCAATTTGTTTAACCAGAGTTATGGGGAAACCAGGATTGTCATTGCATATTACAGCGTATGGCACAGTGGGAGTGTGTACAAATCCTCAGCAGCCGCTGGCTTGTTAGCTGTTGTATTTATCTGGTTGCGTGGCTTATGTGTGGGCTTCGAATAGGAAGACAACGTTCAGCACCATTAATGTGGTGAAACCATTTGACGGTACTGAGCGTGACGTTGCATGTAACGTAATTTTGAACTCACTGTGATGACGCATGTGTTGTGAAATACGGAAAAAGAGCCTGAAGCATGCGCACTGCGTACACAATATGCTAATAAACTTTAACGAGGTTATTGCGTAGACTTATCTCATTAATATTATTTGAATGTGAAATTATTAATATAAAGCATTTAGTATGAAACGCCGGAATCACGTATATTCGGTCTTGGCCCGCACACTGTCTACTGTGGTTATTTGAAGACTGTAGACGCTTTCTATCATACTAAACTGGTTACCAAATTTAACAACTGGTTTTTCGTTTTACAATGAAATCTAAATGAGCTACGACAAGCCGACATAGGACTCGAATGTATACAGCGCCACCACTGGCTGTTCATGCTCCATGCATCAAGTTAATACAAAATTAACACAATATATGATGATACAGAAATTACCACATGGCAGTTTGTTATAATTTACGTAATGGAGATGGATTTATTGAAACCAGTGATCACAAAACTAATCTTACGTTTGCATTTGCCATTATCTTCCCTGTAGTATCCAGGTTGACACTGACATTGGTAACTACCAGGGTAGTTGACACATCTTTCATTCCCATCACAAGGTCTCATCAGGCATTCATTGATATCTACAAAAAAAATGAACACGCATGATAACTGGGTTATGATTATGGTAATTGCACGACCGCATTGAATATTGCTTATCTTCTCCGTGAGTTCGTGCATTGACTCCAATGTACGTTGTACTGATGACACGGATGGAAATGCTTGCTTAAATATTTAAATGATTGCGCACATCCCCGTCCGTTTATCATGCAATACTGGGCAGAATGTGGACTTTACTTCCTGAAATATATATCAGTTGCCTACAATTATAGTATACCAGCAAACTAATTGTCTGAATGGGTCATTATGATTAGGCGAGAGTGCGTTTGTAATTATGCAAGCCGTGGTGAAATACAGTTTTGCGGCCCAAAGTAGAATGTGCCAAACTTTTAGCAAAAGCTGTATTCAGTCTATGAATGTTTTATTTATATGCAGGAATTGGTTGACTATAACGAACTGTTGTTCGTGCATGTTTTTATCGGACAGTGTCGAGCATCCACTCTACAACGGTTGCAAGTAGAACGCTTCGGATGATGCATCATATTTTTCCATGATTTTTGATGCTTTAAAGTGATTTTTAATGTCACAGAATTTAATTTAAAATGACAACAATAAACAACCACCTAAGTCGGGTATACCACTTAATTTCGCACAATCCTTATCCATACTCGCCGACGCTAGTGTTTATTTGTTGTGAATGCTCGTGGTATACGCGTGTGATGGTTTATTGTTTCATTATATACACGTATACATGCGAGTGTACATCAGTTATATATGCACATTTGGTGATTTATACAAATACGCTGAAATAATGTAATCCAATAATTATTAATAATAATTAGTAATACTTACCTTGACAGGATAAGGGGTCAACAAATGAATAACCATCATTGCAATCACATATATACGATCCTGGTGTGTTCTGACATTCACTGTTGACATCACAGCTGTCTCTTCCTAACACGCACTCATTGACGTCATTACAGGTGTTGTGTTCATCTTCTTCATAACCAGCAATACACTCACAGTAATAAGAACCGATAGTATTCACACAATCAGCCATCGCATCACAGCTTACATTATTACATTCATTTATATCTAAAATTAATGAATTATGTTTAGTAATCCATTAATTTAATATCAATCAATTTAATCAAAATAACTAACATTCAGGATAAAATGTTTGTTTTTTAAATGAGCTCCTCAGTTAACAACTTTCATGACAATTAAGGTAGAGATGTAGTTTACCTGACAGCTATTTTAATTAGTTAATTAGGAAACCAAGATGACCTCCCTTGTCCACAAAACTATATATTTTCGGAAAGCTTATTGTATGAATTTTAAAATTGTGTAAGTATTCTTTTTTATGGACACTGTAGTTTGAAATATGCACAAAAGTGATTTTGAAAAAATTAGCCTCTAAACCATGCTTTTGTTTCCTGTCAAAATTCGTTTATGTGTACATCTGTTTACTATGAAGAAAGTGCCGTCTTGAAAACTTCTACCAGTTATCAAATTTCGCTACTTCAAGTTTATGCATAAATTAACACCCATAAATTTCTGGGATTTGCACTAAAAAGAAGCTGAGCTAATTTGCATAACAATTCACTCAGTAAGAAGTTTGCTAATGCTCATAATTAAAATGGCTGTAACAGTTCCAAATTTAAATGTATTATCGTTTTGTAAAAAGTTAAATATAGTGCATAATATGGAGATCCCGTCTTTTCTTTTTTTATGTACAGCCATGCTAAATCTTGCTAAGTATCCAAAAGAGAGACTGTTTGCACCTGTTATCTATATTTTAAAATCGTTTTTTGAGTATGTTCCACTATTCACAATTCTACAAAATGTTGACAGTCTATAGCCTAGACTGTTTGGATAATAAAAAGCAAAAAAAAAATAATTCACTCCCAAGTGACCACAAACCTGCATCTCTATCTTAAATAGTTATTTCAGGGATGGTAGCCACGTCACGGAACGTTTTTTTTTTCTATGATGCGCGCCACTATGCCACGTATTTTTATGGGCTATGTACTAGCTGCAGCTGATAAAGTCGAAAAAACAGCACAAACTCACCTATGGGAAAATCCTGAAAAATCACAATTATATATATACATATGTTCAGGTTTCAACAACTAGCTCAAGTTTTTGACTGTTGTGGTTGCTAGGAAGTGAAAATGCCCTGATGTTCTGTTTAATATGAGGATTTTTAGTGTGTGTGGCATTAATAAATTAAAAGTACATACCAACACATACATACTCGTCTCTTTGAAAACCTGTTTCACAAGTACACGTATAATTGCCAACAACATTGTCACATACTGAATGATCTGGACATGGATATGGATCGCCACTGCATTCATTGATGTCTGCAAAAACAATGTAAACACAAAGATTGATATGTAGTATGAGTTATGTTTCTGTATATTATGTTTGAAAATGAGTTAGTAAAGATTATTTTAATAATACAGACCAGGGTTGCATGCTCTTTAAGGAGTCATAATCAATAATAAGGAGTTATAATTGGATAGACGATATTGCACGCGTAAATGGTAAGCACTAATAAATGTCTACTATATCAATATTAGTATCTATATTGGGGGAAGGGAGATAGCTGGTACAGGTTACAGGAAATAAAAACAGCATTTTACGTTTTTTATAGAAAATAAAATGAAAGTTTCGTTTACAGATAAAGCAAATTTTTAATTACATTTTACATTTAATACCAACAACACAGCTAACGAAAATACACCTTGTCGACACCATATTAGCATAATTTAGGAGTCAAAGGTATGATCGGAAACGTGGCTGACGAGTTTCTGACCTTTAATAATTTAACATATGACAAGCTATTGTTTGTCACATTTGGAACATGAATGTCAAATTAGTCTAGCTAGTTTTTTTACTTTTTTATTACATATACATGATTGTGGTCTTGAGCTTTGACTCCATCCATCCATACATAAAACAACACTGCATGTTGTACCAGTGCACTGCCGCATGTATTTGTTTTAACGAATGACTACTTTACAAGGTATATTATAACTCTAAGTCATTACCTGTACATATCACACCATTACCACTAAATCCATCGTTACAATCACATTCATACTGACCAATGGTATTTGTGCACGTGGCATTCACGTGACACATGGAAGTGTTACTCTGACATTCATCAACATCTGGGAAATACAAAGACAGTGTTTAACCAGCTAATTTTACCACAACAAATCATATAAAATAGTATAACATTGGAAATTAAATTTGATATACCAATATATATTCTGGTGAAATTATAGCCTATGGTTAATATGCTGGTAACTGAATACAAATTATGATGCATGCAATATAATACAAATCATCAAGCTTATTTAAATTAGCTGGTTTACCTTCACACATTCCACTGCCAGAACCATAGCCAGGAAGACAAACACATTTGAAACCTCCATCAGTATTAATACACTCTTCTAGTGCTGTGCAGTTGTGTGTTTTATCAATACATTCGTCAATATCTGATCGATATAAATCACTGATTGTGTTACACAATGAACGTGTCATCATCAAAACATTGGACATACACACATACGTAGGATGCCATAGAAAAACAATTCATTCCTAAATCAAGTAACCCCAGTTTGTCTTTTTTTTATATTTGTGACTGATGCATATGTCGGTGGTAGGTAGTTATTACACGAGACAGAACAAGTCGAAATACTATGTCAGTCGCAGCTGACTGAGTAAGGTATTAGCGTGATGTTCATGAATAAATATTATATGTATTTTATGTATTATATTTTATTATTATCTACCTGAACAAGATCTTTTATCAACACCTAACATATATCCTTCACGGCACGAACAAATATAGCCTGGTGTCACATCATGACAATTATGGGAACACATATGAGTACCATTGACACATTCATTTATTTCTAAAATCAAAGGAAATACAAATTAAAGGCACTTTTACAAACATATAAACACAAACGTTGAACCCGCAATTACAGCAAATGCGACTGTAAGTAGACGCGCTCCCCGTTACACTATAATTCGACAGCGTGAAATAGCATATGGAAAATGAGAACTTACAGTGACTATATCGACATTGTAGTTGAGAAGTGATATATATTCAAGTTTGTTAGAATCCTGCTAGTAAATGACAGCTAGTTACAAATAAATACATAGCTGCAGGGGCACAATAACACAACAATTTCAACAACATAAGCTTCTATCCCAAGTATGAGGCAAATTAGTAAATATATGGTTTGAATCTATGTGAGGGGTCATTGTTGCTAGCTGCTATGTGTTCTCAATATCAGCCGTCATTATACGTTTAGTGAAACTGAATTTCTGAGAAGTTGCGTTTTGTGGACTACATGACTCGCAACCTACTTACGTAAACATGTTTTCTGGTCCGCATCCAACTCGTATCCATGATTACAATGACATTTTTGAACGCCATCACGCATATAACATATACCATTTACACAACTGTTGTTTGAACAAGTCTCCTCAGCTGCAATGAGAGCCAAAGTGATAATATAATAACGTTTTATGACAAAACCATGTCTATAATCTTATCACTACTGATAGCACACTTACGCGTGCAATTTCTTCCCGATGTACCCTGATCCTCGAATCCATCGAAACACAAACAGATATATCCATCAACGTTGTCATTATTTGCTTCTGCATTGGTGCAGTTCTGTGGACACGTGTGTGTTTCAAGACCACATTCATCAATATCTGATAAAAAAAATGACAGTTATCACCAGTTCATGGTATATTTTAACACTGGTTAATTATCTCGCAATGGTAAAATATATTTTGAATATTTAGAGGGTAAAAGATATATTAGATAAATACGATATATTAGAATGATTTAACAATTATAAATTAAATTATATAACCTTTGCAGTTGAAACCACCGACATCTATTTCATATCCATCATTACATGTACAATAATAATTCCCCTCTGTATTTACACATGTGTGTTCACATCCTCCATTGTCTACTGTGCATTCATTAATATCTGAATAATACAACGTATTTTAAATATATTTATTCATATGAACAATGACAAATTATGCAGTAATCAATCTTGTCAATGGCGATGATGCAAATATGAAAATGAAAGGGGGTTATAATTTTAACAACAATTATGATTATGTTATTATCAATTATGTTCATGTTTCAATAATGAACGACGCATGCTCATATTGCGATAGTTCAATTTTACAATTTCGTGGAGAAATGTGGAAACAGCTCGTCAACAGCGTTGTACAAAGCACTGTAATGATACACACAGTACTTACCAGTGCAATTGCTGTCACCTCCAGTGTATCCAAGTTTACATAAGCAGATGTAACTACCATCTGTGTTTTCACATATGTTATTTGTTGGGTTACAATCATTTTGACTAGAAATAAGGCATTCATTTTCATCTGAAATGAAATAGAATGTCCATTATGTATCTCAGATCTTGAGAAATAATTGCGAGACGATTTACATCGTTGCGGAACCTGGTTAATATAACAAGAAAGTCATGGTCGAGTATGTCTACATGGTAGTATTGAGTAGCTTGTAAAGTGCCATTCAGCGGCCTTTCCATTCATTAGAATCAATGTACTTCTAGGAGTAGAATATCGGTGACCTCGTTCTAAATCAAGCACTGAATGTGTTTTTTTTCTGTAATGACGTTAACTCATTAAAATGGGAATCGAAGCTCAGGAATACTGGCCTCGTTGTTGTATTATGTTTGAAGTGAAGCGGCAAAATGATATGGCGGGTGAAATGAAAATTTATTGAATCCTGAAACCAAATGAATTGGCGTTAAGCCAACTCAGTGGTGTTGATACACAACCAATAGCAGTTTTTTACTGTAATTCCGAGACCACAGATACGAGATGACAAACTAGTGTCAAACTAGTATTAAGCGCCATAGAAATAGATCAAGACACGGAATTTACCTTCACAAATGTTATCTGCATTCATAAGATAACCATTATTGCAAATACATTCGAACGAACCAATGAGATTGCGGCAAAAGGAATTAACATCACACGATTCAGTATGTCGTGTACACTCATCGATATCTGAAATCAGTGAACACATATTATCAATCCATGGGCTGAAATACTATAATTTTTGACCTTAGACAGTGTTCCTATTTTCACATAGGTAATATAATGCAATATAACATTACCAGTAGACATTCGGCTTACTGAGTTAAGGTTCACATTCAAACATTTAAATACATTTGATCACGCGCAGTGTAATGACCACACTGTAAGGTTCACCCAAAATTAATAATCATACGATACATATAATGACTCCAACAGTAAACATACTCCCAAATCGCATGATTGGACAAGGTTACCCACAATGTTTTACTTAGGCGCTAAAACAAGGTAACTGTATTTGATTTATGCATTTATAAGCTGCAGAATAGGTATATAGATACATAGGGTACATAATTAATGACCTATGTTTAACTCGTATTTTCTCCTTGACATGTCTTAATATCCAATTAATAAATTTAATGGCACAGGGTCATTCATTAGTGTTTGTGTCTCACTGTCAAAGAATGATTATTGTCATTAGTCAATCTCAAGTTAACATATTTTATATTTAAAATATGGTGTCTAGCCTAACGTACCTGTACAATTTCTATTTTTACCAATCACATCTTCATACCCCTTCTTACATGAGCATCTGTACGAACCTTCCGTATCTTCACAATCTGACATGTCACGTGGACAATCATCAATTGATAGTAAACATTCATTGATATCTACAAAATAATCATTGGACAATTACAATTACTGTTCTTAGACAAACAAATAGCTCTAACCAGTATTTATATAAAAAAACGTCAATATACTTCTACTAGCTGGTGGAGATGAAATACAGGACAAACTAACTCTATTTTGTTTTGAGGGTGTATGTGAATAATGTAATTGATACTCACTGGTGCAACTTCCAATGGTTCCATTTCCCTCATACCCATCAACACATGTGCATGTATAACTACCAAGTGTGTTTAAACAGTTTGCTGTCTGTGGATCACAATCAGTCAAGTACACATCATCACACTCATTAATATCTTGACATGTTTCACCATCTCCATGCCATCCTTCATTACATGTACACTGGAAGCTACCAGGTATATTGTGACAACTGGCTTGAATACTACAATTATGACGACGACCATCAGATAATGATAGAGTACACTCATTTATGTCTGCAAGAAAAAATCTCATTTATTTAATTTCAGCATCCATGTAAATGAAAACATATACTATGTTCAATATTACAAAATGTGGGAATAACATAATAGTGTAAATTCCATAATTCTAATGACATACAATATATATATATATATATATATATATATATATAGCATAGATTATAGACAGATAATCAGATTTATATACATGCAATTGTATTTTAATACCAGTTGGAGAGCGTCCTCTATGGCTGGCGCATTCTTGTTTAATTGTGCCTTAGAGGGGGGGGGGCAGCAACATTGATCCACCTCTTTTGAACTACACCGTCAACTTGCCGGCTTACAGTTTGTTTCTTCTACAATTTTAGTCGTATTTTCGATAATTTTAAGGCAAGTTCTGGTTTACCTGGGGTTATCGTTCCGCCGTTGAG